GGTCATCAAGCACTGGATTCAGGCTGACAATGTTACTGGATGACTTAACTTCACCTCTGGCCTTCAGGTCTTTAACTTCTTGGGAATAAGCTGAACGTTGGACAAGTCTTGCGATGACTACGGCAGCAGCATTATAGTCCTCTAAGGCAAGGTGGCCCTTCTGAACAGTCTCCCGATTGCAAAGGAAGTGAATGAAGCGAATAAGCCAAGCCACTTGACGTCTGAGTCGATTCCAATCGGAGCAGCCACTTAGTATCCGATGGATGATACACTGGGATATAACAGTTGAAGAATTCTCAGAAAGCGGTTCTGGTTGTTTAGTACGCAGATCGGTGCTTATGTCGGTAAGGTTAGCGTGCGTGACCTTTTTCAGCTCCAATACTTCATCTGGAACCTCCTTAAGCTCTGCATTGGGCCAGACAGATTCTGACTGCCAGAGGAATTCTGGCCCTCGTAACCAACGGTGATTTGAGCTCAGCTGTGAGGGGTTCAACCCACGTGAGACATCATCAGCTGGATTTAAGGTACCCGGTACATGATTCCAGTCATCGGGTTTTGAGTTTTCTCTGAATTCTTCTACGCGATTGGCGACATAGGTTTGGAATCGGCGCTTCTCATTTCTTAAGTAGTGGCGCACTATTTCACTGTCGGTCCAGTACTTGGTTTCTCGAATGCACAGATCTAACTCTTCTCTCAGCATCTTATTTAGGCGTGTAGCCAGGACAGCTGCTTGTAGTTCAAGTCTTGGGATGCTCGTGAACTTAATAGGAGCATTTCTTGCCTTGCCCATCACGAATGAACAGTGGACGGGGCCGTCAGGATCCTGAATTCTCAAGTATGCAGCTGCTCCATACCCAGCTTCCGAAGCATTGGAGAAGATGTGTAGCTGTAGTTTACACCTCAGCGCATCAAATCTGGGGGAAAGTAATAACGCGGGATGCGCAATTCTGACAAGGACTGCAGCCGTGTTGTCCAGGATCTCCATCTACTTACGAAGTGTTCATTTAGTGGTTGATCCCAACCTAGCTTAGCCTTCTATACATCTTGTATCAGCGCTCTTGCCGTGAGGGCTACAGGTGCAGCAAAGCCAAGGGGGTCATACAGAGAAGAGACGGCGGATAGGATACCACGCTTTGTCTCGGGGCGAGTTACAGTTTTAATTTCAAAACCTAGCTAATCTGTCTCAAGAAACCAACGTACTCCAAGGGCTCTTTCCACTGGTAATTCATCCAGGTCAAGATTCAGTTCTGGTTTGGCTCTTCTTTCAGCAGGTATTTTGGACAAGGTGTCTTTGCTATTTGACATGAACTTTGTCAAGCGAAATCCACCACTTACTAACATTTCTGCCAAGCTGGATGCTGCTCTGGCTGCCAAGTTCTCGTCTTTGAATGACGGTAAGGCATCATCGACATAAAAATTCTTCTCAACAATGGCAGTGACTCCCTTCTCACACCTTTTAGCATTGTCAGCAGCTCTTCTCCTCAAGACAGAGTTTGCAACGCAAGGAGAGGAGGTAGCACCGAATATGTGCACTTCCATGACGTAGACGTCTGGGGGCTGCCCATAATCATCAGTCCACCATAAGGAACGTAGAGCATCTTGGTCTTGTTTTCGCACCCTTACTTGGTGGAACATAGCTTCCACATCAGCGGCCAGCCCAACCTTTCCTTGCCGAAAAGGCAGCAGCACCCCAATGAGACTGTTGGTCATGTCTAGGCCTTGGATGAGCTTCTTGTTTAGGGATGTGCCCTGAAACTCAGCTGCGGTATCGAAAACGATGCGAAGCTTTCCAGGTTTGTTGAGATTAATAACTGGGTGATGAGGCAGGTACCAGGTGTATGAAGTCTCCATAGCTGCTTGTTCACGAGATAGTTTTCGGGCGTAGCCTTTAGAGATATACTCATCCATGACCTCGCGGTACTTGGCAGCAAGCTCCCGATTTTCAGGTTTTGT